TTACTGACAAAGAGACTTTGGTAGTGGTTAGTGTACTAACAAACTAATGAGGCTATGTGCAAATAAGTAATAAACCATTTGTGGTTGAAACTGGCTACAAAAGCTTATTTTTCCAGAATGAATGCGATTTCAATATGGTTAGAGGAAAGATGATTAACCGTATTAAACAGATGATGGGCATTATTTACTGGGTGCTAAAATACATCTTGGAAAAAAGTAGTGTAATAGCGGGCTTATTGTCAAGGTTACCTTCTGACTCAGGTGTGAACTGTATTCAAGACACTCTTGGAAGCAGAGAAATGGAGAAAGTTAGAACTGTCAAGAAGTTACATGAAGAATGGTTTTTCTCATAAATTAAAGCTAATTGCAGGGTGAAAATCTTAATAAAATAATAGATCGGGTGGCTGACGAGCGCGACATTTGTCAGAGATTTACAAATAAAAGAAGAGGTTTGAGGGAGAAACTCCATTTGATAGAAATGCCAAAAGACCCAGTAGAGGGATTAATCGTGGACCTAATGTTGATGTCCCGTACTACGGAAGGGTTTACTGTGTTGGCGGTCGTTGATAAATACTCTAGATATGTTTGGGTAAAAGTATTACGGGAGTTGATGACAAGCTTTGCAAGTGACTGTTTTAATGAAATTTTTAAGTGGCAGGTACCTAAACGCATAACCCTAGACAGTAAGACTGTTTTTAAAAGTAGGGTGCGGGAAATTTTTAAGGAAATTTAAAATTGATGAACATTTTATACTACAAACCATCATAAGGCTAATGGTATCACAGAAAGAACGATCAAGATGATAAAAAAGGCCTTAACTAAAAATGAGTCATGCAAGAGAAGTATAATGGACATACTTATTAGATGATTACATATATGGACATAATAGAACACCAAAAGCTTTACGAGTTGGTCCAGTTTATATGACGTTAAAAGAAAAGGCAGATTTCAGAGATTTTAAAAAGACTAATGAAATAAAAACTGAGAGTAGACTCAAAGATGGTGAAATCAACATAGAGGCCGAACAAATCCGTCAAAAATTTCAAAGAGATTGACGTCCTCAAGAAGGGTTGGGCTACTAAACAACAGTATCTTTAGAGCATTCTGAAAAAAAGCTATGACCGAAATTGTTCCAAATGAAACCACCAGGACTGGAGATTTCATGTATGTCGAGTTTCCAGAAATTAAGATCAAAGGAAAAAACTGTGAAGGCCAACTAAAGTTTTAGCAGAGCTAGGAAATGTACTCTTCAATGAGAGTATGCCGGGAGAATATTATTTAGGCATAGAAACCAACTTAAGATATCGAAAACAGGATATGTATGTCGCACACATATTTTAAGGGGGGCTTACTAATAAAATTTACGTTAACGAGCTCGTTGATAACAATTGTGTAAAGGAGAGTGAAAAAAGGGAGATAATTATTGTATTATTAAAGGTTGGAGGCAAAAGGTGTCTAGGAAGGGTAGCAGTCCCCATGGATGGTTGGGTCAACTTCTGCCGTAACGCTGGGCTAGACCCTTTAAAATATCTACAGAAGAGGAACTAATGATGTATAACCGCAACTTGGAGATAAAACAAACACTTCTGGTCCGAAAAGGTCAAATATTTTAGGGGAGTTTTGAACTAAAGTGTTCCAAAAGTTAATTTAGGTTTTCACTACTTTAAGTCCCTTGGAATAGTAAAAAAAGGAGAGGGGGGGGGAAGGGTAGTTTTACTTGGAACCCTACTTTAAATAAAAGTTTACTAAATACTGCTTAGTCATTTTTGTCATTCAAATTTTTGGCACCACCGATGCTCACTCGTGTTTAGATTGGTTAAAACACTTTTTTAAATTGAATCAAATGGTCAATCAAGAGATCTAGTTAAGTTTTTAATTACGCAATGATAATTTATATTTTGCGAGATACCGCATTTAGTTAGTATATATTGTGTAAAAAAATAACTCCACCCGCCCAAAGCTGTTTTCGGGTACGGGTGTAAAGCAATTTAATAAGCCAGTTTCCTCTCTCTTTTATAACACCCTAATTATAGGCCCTACAGTTTAACTTTAAGACTGACCACGCATGGAGGGGGCTAAAATTAACAAAAATGATACATTTTAAAAATTTAACATTGACCTCATCGGTTTTTCTCTCTCGGTATATATTTTTTATTTTAATATTTTTATTATTATTTTGTCTATATTTTACATATCTATATATACATAATAATTGTTTAAAATTTTCTCTAGTTTTATAGTGCTTAAAGTCGCGCCTAGCCTGATGGTTTCTTTTTAGAAGTTTTCACCACCCTAGGCGGAATGGCGATCCTGCAGGGCAGTCATCATATCTTGGGTACGTATACAGCTGAGCATTCATGGCCTAACCTCTCTTGATGAGGGGAATACAGATTAAAAAATAAAATAAAAATTCCCATTAGTTAGCACTGGAGTCGACTGCCCGTAAGCAAAATATTAATAATTAATACTGGTTAAACTCGTTGAACATTTCTTTATTTAACATATTAAAAAATCGAGTTTCATGTTCAGCCCTAATTTTTTGAATAACGTTTTTTCATCAGTCACAAGGAAGTCTTAAGTAGTAGAGACTTAAAGGATGCTTGTAGCCGTTTTTTTATTACATATATTAACCAGTTAATATTATACTGTATACCTAAAATGCAAAAATATTAATAAAGGTTTTTATAAATTCCTTGAAAAAGAAATTTATTTTAACAGTACTTCGCCCCATCATAGCTTTGAAGACGAGTATCGAGATATATAGTAAATACAAGCCTTGGGTAAATACTTAACATAACTAATCATATCAAAAATTTTTGTACTTGACCTGAGCTTAAGGTTATATTTTTTAGAATGAACCTTTTAGCGATACTGGCTATTTATACGAAATTTACATAGTACTTAAATTTTTGTTCTGTGCAACAAAAGGGCCATAAAGGTTAAGTGCTAGGATAAATATATAAAAATCATATAAAAGACTACGCTTTTTCTTTTCATCTTTTCTCTCTCTCTAGCTGTTCTGGGTTACCTGCTGTGTACGGATTGGGTCCTTCTTGCGTGTAGTAATATACGGGATAGTTTAATAAATAATAAATTTAAGTTCTTGGTGTTAAATAATATTTACTATACTCATATAAGTCCTTATTATAGTGTTATCAATAAGAAAATAAACATATGTTTCACATTGACTTTAACTTATTTTTCACCTGGTGTAGTTACTTATACACGCACCTTAGCCGAACATGAAAAGATTCGTCTTGTCAAAGCGAGAGCTCATACTCTGTTTTTACTCCGTGTGCAAAGTTTAGAGGTCGAAGCGCCCTCTATAAAATGAGTGTCCACTTTTGGCGTAGAGGGAAACTTAATAAATTTTACGTGGGCCTGAGCCTGGAGAGGTGCTATTTTATAACTTTGGGGCCCCGACGCTTTCAAATGCTAAACGGTAGTGATGTGTCCTTTAAAGTGTCCCTTGTGTACAAAAGTACACTGAACTTATCCGCAAGCCGGAAATGTTATATAATTTTGAACAGTTGTCATATTCTTCCAAGAAATTGAACCCTTTTGTGAAGATGACAACAGTTTAAGCGGTGTAGGCGCGTTAATTTTTATACACAGGCTGGCCCCTCTTACGTATTTTACCTCTGTGATATATATATATGTATATGACATCTAACTAGCTTTGGAGAGTAAAGTTTATATAATCCACCGTGCATCGGAAGGATTATTACTGTATATCCAAGGAGTGCAGAAATTTAAAACTACAATTTAAAGATTGCAAAAAACGTTGCACACTTACAAATATTAACGCAATTGCATTCGCTTTATTCTGAAAAAAAAAGGCGGTGTTAAAATATTGTACACAAGTCAACAACGAAATTTAAAAGAATTTACTGCTTACTATTACTTGGGAGAGGAAACATGATGCTCTTAACGCAACTAATGACTCCAAGTCGAAAAACAATATTTAACGGAAAGGCGTATCTGCGTGTGCTACTGAGGAAACTTGCCATCTACGCAGCTACTTCCGCCCACAAAGATCTTTATAAAGGTAGTAAGTAAACCTTCAACCATTAACTGTAGTAAGTCAGACATTTTTGTGAGCCAATCTACGTCATAACAATTGTAACACCTCAAAAAAGTATTGAAGGCCAAAGGGCCTGAGGCAAAATGTGGCATAATTTTTAGTAGTTATCCCCCCCTTTTCCAGTGACTTGACGCAAAGTTTGGATAGTTGTAATAGTTAAAGCTAATGCACCTCAAAACTCGGTTTTGTTGTCTTTCTTTTCACGTTGTATATACCACTTTCCACGCTGGATATATTGATTAGTAGGTTGTGAATATTGCCTTGAAATGGGGTTTTAAAGCCTTATAATTTTTAATTATACTCCCAAAATGCAGTAAAGAACGGAGTGCATAGACTTAAAAAATTACAGGGGACTGCGTACTAAACAGACCTTAAAGTATTATAAAAATTACTTACAAAGTAAATTAAATGTTTCTTAACTCAGGCAGCTTATAAGGAAATATTAAAATTTTTATAGAACCAGCTTTTAAGTTACTGTTCTATACTAAAAAGTGCTGTTTAGTTATCATTAAAACACCTCTAACTTCCTTGGAATTGTAAAACACTGTGAATGTTTGATTTTTTTAGTTAAAAAGTAATCTGCAGAGTGGAAAAAACTAAAGCGGGGCTATATAAGGGTTGCAGAGTGACAGCTAAGAGTCCCAACTGAAAAAAGTCTTCTATTGTAAAGGACGAATAATGTTTGACAATATAACCCGAACGGAAACCGCGACCTTAGCGGAAGCCAGTCCAAACCAAGGGCGGCCCGTATTATATTAAATGTTCCGGTATAAGAAGGAATAATAACTACAACAAATAAACTTCTTCTTTAAATAAAGTAAAGCTCAAGGAACAAGGTACTTCTTTTAAAGGGTTTCATTACACAAAAGTATAATAGAGAATAACTTAAGAAAAATTGTTCACTTTATATGGCGAGAAAAACTTATCTTATTTCAGTCTCAACATCTTCCGGTAAATCTTATAATGAAAATAAGATTTATTATAATAGTAAAAATAACATAAAAACCATAAATCCAATTTTTGTTCTTCGCTAGATCGAAAAATTTACTTAAAAGTAATGAGCTCTGTAGAGTTTTCTTTGAGCCCATCATGATAAACTAGAATGTAGAAAAAAAAGAAATATTATTTTTTTAATATAAATTTTGTAAATTAAAGGATTATTGAAGGCCGTAAACATTGTTTTAAAATCGCTACTTTTTCCTTGGCTCTAGTAAAAGCTACATTTAATCTCCTTGAATCTTCCAGCAAACTTCCAACCTTTATAGTAATGGTTAATAACTTCTATAAATAAAGTACACAACAAAAAATTGTAAATAAACTAAGCTTATTATAATTATAGTTGCGATTATATAAATAGACAGCTTTTTAAAGTAGCAGGTATTATAAGTAAAAATAATAAGAATATAGAGCGCCAAAGTGAGAATACTTAGAAGAAATATTAAGATTATGATAACAGTATATAATAGTTAAACAATGAGAAGTAAAGTAATGCCCTAAAGTAAATTATACTGTTCAATTCCAAATATATTCAAGTTTAAAAAATAAAAAATTACTCCACGAGTACAAAAGAAGTTTAACCAGCGGCATAAAAAATTATGTTAAAAATAAAGTAGTGTTTTCAAGTTAGTATCGGAGTACAGGGTAGCGAATATACTTAATAAAAGTGTTCATGAGTTACCAAAGAAAGAGAATTGGAGCGCACAAAGGAAAGAATAATTACAAGCTTGTCTTTTCCTTGATACTTGTCAATAGTAAAAACTTCCAGAGTGCTTAAAAACTCGCTTTTTCTTTTAAAAATCATAAACTTTTATTAATCAACTTTGCAAAAGTAGATAGTTTAGGTATACATTAAGTTTTCCTTTATTAGCAAAGTCTGCGAGTGATAAGGAGTAATAATACCGACATTTCCTGCGGATACGCCGCACTAAAGTTAAATAGTACGTTGGTATAAAAATAAACAAGGTGAAAGAAGGCTACCTTGATCAGAGCTAATGCAAGAAAAGAAGCAAGTTTACTTTCAAATACGTTTAGGATGCCGCAAGCATTGAAACTTTCAAGGTTGTCAGAGATCTAAGAATCGTTATAACTGTTAATTGCCCCTTAAACTTCTTAACAAAAGTAACAAAAGCAAAGAAAAAGGTATATATATTGTATATTATTGTATATATAAATAAAGATAAAGTATTAATCACTAAAGTTTGTTAAAATTATATAAGGAGAAGCTTTATCGGTGTTGAGAAATATAACGCTTCTTGTTGAATCCAGTATTGGAGTGATCCATTCGTCTACGTTATTGAGAAAATAATAAGGATAGCATAGGAGTAAAAAAATATTTAATGCATACTTCCACAACAAAAAGTAAACTATAAATTAAATAAAGGGCTATAATACTTTTTGCAAAAGAGACAGGGATTTTCAACACGAGGTGTTTGGCGGCGGTAGAGGGGGTGGCACACTTGAGACGATAGTCATAAATTAAATGACTCGAAATCAGTGAAATATCTGAGTTCATGCGGTATTGATAAACAAGTTCAGTCATACTTCTGGGATGCGCCTGAGAATAATGATAATAAGATAATAATAGCAATAATAAAAATTATTACTTGCGTAAGAATCTTGAACAATGTTTCCTGAAGCCCCATTAGAGCTGCTTTGGAACATTTTACTAAAGGAGGAAGTTGATTATGATCGCCAACAAGCACAAACTTCCTGGAGCATAAAAGAGGCCCAAGAATGGTCTGCAGCGAATGACATTATAATAAAATGATGAAAGTAATAATAAAATACTGGTAGAGTAATCTGAGAAGCCTCATCGATTATGCAATAATCAAATGTTCTCATCATAAGAAGAGGATGGTTGATTCCAAAGCACGTGGACGCCTACGTTTATTAAAAAAGCAGAGTTTGTGCTCAGAAATACACAAAAAGTGTTGGCAGAGATATTATAAATTATATCCGACAAACCACCACAGACTTTGTTTTATACAAGTGTTTCAACCGAGTGATGACTCGCAGTTGTTCAATACGAGTACTTGTAATTGAATAGTTTTGGCAAAACTATATATGTAATAATAGTAAGAATTACCATAAACTTTCTCTTAAAGACTGGGAAGTAAATTTGCTAATGGAAGGATGAACATTGTCAGTACTGCCAACCCTTACAGGGTATACGCGATGGTAATAAAAGCTTTTATCAAAGCATATATAACTTTACCGGAGAAAATCAACGCCGAGTTCAATAAGTTTAAGCAATATGTTATCCACTGCGGTATGGGTATACGAAGCAACCAAAACGCTCTTCCCAGAAAAAGCCAATTGTTTTATCTATAAATACATAAATAATTAAAAACAAGAAGCTTATGAATTATTCTAAGAAACTAATAAAGCAAACTATACAATGTGCGCAATAACAGTGGTTTTTCCTCCTCCCGGCATGCCTAAAACAAGCGCGTAATCCTTTAATAAGAAAAAAATCAATAATAAAGCATCTAAAATATTATCTTTACCCAGTTGAACTCTAAATCAAAAGACTAAAAACTAAATAATGCATCCATAAAATTAGTAGGATTCGATAATCATGTTAAGGTTAAATAGTCGAACTTTGAAATGGTAAACTGCTTACCTTCGAATAAACGACTTTTCTTATCACATTTCGCTGCGACTCGTTCAGTTCGATGAAAAACTTGCTACTTAACTTAAACGGAACTTCGCTTTCATCATAAAACTCCGGCGCTCTTTTGTCAATCACTAACTGTCGCAAGTTTTGGTACTACAGTAGAAATTTTATAAAAACCACGAAAATTTCTTATGAAACATAAAACCAATTCCACTCCCGGCTTCATCAGACGCATAAGGTTATCCCGTGACTTGTACGGCTGTGGGTTGTTTTCGCATTTGTCTAGTCTAAAAAGCGCATTCCCTTCGTAGTAATAATA